TACTTTCCTAGTGGTTCATTCTGTTGGTCTGTGTATAGTACAGGTCTGAGTACCTGTACCTGAGTACCTGACTAGCAGGGCTAGTCTTGTAAGGGGAAATTTCCCCAACATATACTTCTTGGTAAAAGATTTGATTTCTCCATCAAAGATGAAACTCAGTTCTGCAAGGTACAGAATCCTAGGTTTGCAGTTGTCTTGTTTCAGAAGATTGAAGATGTGAGTCTACTTTCTTCTGCCTTGTACAGCTTCACAGATAGCTAAAATTCCAAGGGGTTCCCCCTTGTAGGAGAGCTGCTGCTTACACCTGGCTGACTGTGGAATTTTCTTTTTCATTTTGATGTTGGTCAGGCTAATTACAGTGTGTCTGGAAATTGCTCTGTTTGGATTGAGTCTGCCCAGGGTTTGATATACATCAAGTAGGTGAATGTCTGAATCTATATGAATATTAGAGAAATTTTCAGCTCTAATATCTTTGACTTAGGTTTCCATGCTATTGGGACGCTCTTCTTCCCCTTTGGAGATACCTGTAATTTGTATGTTGGTATACTTCATGTAGTTTCTTAATTCTCCAAGAGATGGCTCTGCTATTACTCTCTTTTCTGCCTCATTTTTGTTTTTTTTTTTTTTTTGAGACAGAATCTCAAGCTGTCATCTTGGGTAGAGTGCCATGACATCACAGCACACAACAACCTCCAACTCCTGGGCTCAAGTGATTCTCATGCCTCCACCTCCCAAGTACCTGGGACTACATGCGCCCTTGACAATACTCGGCTATTTTTTGGTTGCAGCCATCATTGTTTGGCAGGCCTGGGCTGGACTGGAACCCACCAGCTCAGGGGTATGTGGCTGGCGCCTTAGCCGCTTGAGCCACAGGCGCAGAGCCTTTTCTACCTCTTTAAATGACTGTTAACTCAAGAGCCTTGTCTTCAAGCTCTGAGATGTTTTCTTCTCCATGGTTTAAATCTGTAACCAAAACTTTCTATTACATTTTGAAACTCTCTCAATGACTCCTTTAGTTCTTTCAGGTCCTTTATATCATTTCTAAGTGTGTCAAAATCTTTGGAGGTGTTGTTCTGTCTTTTGTTAAATCTTGGGTCAATTTTTAGATTTCCTTCTGCTGATTTTCCTTTTTTCCTTCAATTCCCTTCATTTTTGCATCCATATTCTGAATTCCCTTTCTGTCATTTCCATAATTTCTTTGTAGTTGGGTTCTTTGGAGATAGCTACATTGTTTTCTGTTGTGGGAAATGAACTGGATCTGGTCTGATACTTCATGATAATAGTGATTTTTTGTTGGTCTTCCTCATGGGTGTTTTCTTCTTCTTTGACTCTAGGTACATTCTTCTTCTTCTT